GACTCACAAGACACTATGATGGAAACGAACTTTACAATGTTGAGGGGTGAGGAGTGGGAGGTGAGAAGGGAAAGGGTGGTAGGAAAAAAACAAAGGAGAGGGTAACAATGTTCGACAAGAAATGTACTCATTACCTTACTCATGTGACTGAAAGCACCTGTACAGCATCTTTACAAAAATTAAGAAAAAAGAAATGGAAGCTAACATATGGAGCTTTTTCTTTCCTTGTTTCTCTCCACTAGGTCATTCTCTGAACTTCCTTACATGTCAGGGGCTTTGTTTTTGCCGTCTCTCCTACACAAGATGTCCTTCCTTCTGTGCTTCAGAGTACTGGAGTCAATGAATGAAACCAATTCCTTCTTCTTTTTTTTATATTGCTATTCGTCTGTGCAATTAGTAATACAGTTACAATAATTCTTGTGACTTATAGCCAGACAATTATGTGGACTATTTCTGTTTCTCGTTTCTCCCAGAAATGATTGTGCTACCAATTAATTAGTAAATAAACCAATCTGGAAATACACTGAAAAGTATTATTTTCTTTGACTCAATGTGCAATTTTTAAATGTTTACAGTATCTCCTTATTTTATTGGTGATCATATATTAATACTACCATAATACCTCCTAATTAAAATTATTGCATTTCTATGTGTCTACCGATAAAGAAGGAATCCAAACTACACTTAGCCTCCCAAGTTATTTTTAACCGTAAGGGGTTAAAAATAGGTAAGGATTCAGAAATACAAATTGGACATGTTTTGTATCAAAATACCTTCTATACAGGTAAGAAAATACAATAATGAAGTGCTCAGCTATGTGAAACATATAAATAAATGAGTCTGTATAGACACATGAATATTTCCCAGTATAAATTAAGAACTATTGTTTATATAACATCTTCTCTTTGCATCCTTCTTCTTTTTCCTATGTTTCTTATTGCAAAGACTGGGTGTGACAAAACAAAGCAAAACAGAATCAGACAAAGGAGTAGGGAAAAAAGAACTATTGTGGCATTTCCCAAATTTCAGCCATTAACACAAGTCAATAATTCTTTATGCAAAATGGTATTTATGGGTTTTAAATCTCTGATAGTCATACTTAAATAACAAATCTCTTATAGTCATACTTAAATAAAAAATCTCTTATAGTCATACTTAAATAAAGAGGAAATATTTTTAATCTTTCATGATTTCAATAATTTTGATGATTAGTATCTGTGAATGCAGGATTGATGCATACCATTAGCATACTGGTAAAATCAATGATAATTCCACATTGTTAACACATTCTGTGATAAGCAAAAAATTTAATGTTGAAGGAAATTTTCCTAACAGAGGGAAGATAAACCAAAAATTCATTGAATTCATTAATGTTAGATCATTACAAAAGTTTTGCATCACTTGCATCATATCTCAAAGAGATAAATGAAAGGGGGCCTTAACATCATCTTGAATGACCCCTTTATTGGTATTGGCTTTACTTTCATAATTATAAATACTTATGCATTTGTTGCAAATGCATGCCTATGGGAGTTTATCCCTTGTGTCTCTTTATGTCCTTCATATCAAAATAGTTTTTGCAAATCATCCATAAAAGCTTCTCTGGTTTGAAGGTCATAGGAGGCACTGGGTATTTCCACAAGTATGTACTTTTTCATTATAAGTTGCAGAAAAAGAAGAGGAGCCAGCATGGAGGACCAACTTGACATTTCAAAAATATTGTAAATTTTGGCAGAAACAATGCTTCATTTTAACATAGTTTTTCATAAATGGAGGTAAAATTAGTGAAGTTTATATTGACTAATAATCTGTAAATGGGGAAGTTCTGTAATATGTCAGCTTGTGTTTCTTTTTAAGGTAAGATATTCAGGGGAAACTGAATGATAATTTGAAAGTCTATCAATATTCCTCTGACAGTTTTTAATGTATTCTTCAACTTCCTCTTTTGTGGCAGAACACAAAATTCTTAACAACTGACATCTTCTATGAGTGACAATGTTGGTGTTTATTAGTGACTTGGTTCTTCTCCAAACCATTTAAGGCAAAGAAAGGTCTGTGTATGGGGCTGGGAAGGTGGCTCAATGGTAGAGTGCTTGCCTTAAATGCATGAGGCCCTGGGTTCGATTCCTCAGCACCACATAAGCAGAAAAAGCTGGAAGTGGCGCTGTAGCTCAAGTGGTAGCCTTGAGTTCAGGCCCTATGACCAAAAAAACGAAAGAAAGAAAAGTCGGTGCTGTGGACTTAACAAAATGCTTTTTTTTTCTTTTCTTTTCCTTTTTAAAAAAATTTGTGAAAATAACATACAGAGGGGTTACAATTACATGGGCAAAGTAAAGAGTACATTTCTTATCAAGCATTGTTGCCTTCTCCTTTGTTTCCCCTTCCCATCCCTTCCTCTTTCCACCCCCCACCGAAGTCGTAAAGTTTGTTTTTCTACATAACGTCTTGTACATTTCATTGTTGTAATGTGTCCACCTGTAACCCTATTTAAACAATTTATTTTTTCCCTTACCCTCCACAAATTATACCAACATCAGATATAGTGAAAGAAGCAGTGCTTATACCATGGGGGAGGTACAGACAAAGCAACAAAGAAATCATCTTATAAATATGTTGGAAACAATCATAAAAAAGAAAAAAAAACATTTGAATCCTTATCTTGGGGTTTATTTCTCCTAACATCAACTTGTCTGACAGTTTCTGTTTGTCTCAGACATATACTAGTTATTGCAAATAAGGAAAACCATGGGACCTATGTTTCTTTGGGCCTGGCTACTTCACTTAATATAATTTTTTCCAAGTGTTTCCATTTCCTTACAAATGGGGCAATGTCATTCTTTCTGATGGCTCAAAACAATATTGAGATACCACCTCACATCAGTTAGCATGGCTATAATCAAGAACTCTAATAACAACAAATGCTGGAGGGGATGTAGACAGAAGGGAACCTTACTACATTGTTGGTGGGAGTGTA